CTTTTTTTTTTTTTTTTTTGAGCAAGATTAGCCCTGAGCTAACTACTGCCAGTCCTCCTCTTTTTGCTGAGGAAGCCTGGCCCTGAGCTAACATCCATGCCCATCTTCCTTTACTTTATATGTGGGACGCCTACCACAGCATGGCGTGCCACGTGGTGCCGTGTCTGCACCCGGGATCTGAACCGGCGAACCCTGGGCCGCCGAGAAGTGGAACGTGTGAACTTAACTGCTGCATCACCCCTCTATTTATTTTTATAAGTTTCAGTTTGCTTTTCTCATTTTCTATTAATCAGTAGCAAAGAAATAGAAAAATGAAGGAACTATTAATTTGTGTGTTGTGTGTTGCTTATTTTTATCTTTAACTTTATATTGAACACCTATTTCAGTTTATCATCCTCTCCCCCCATAGTATATCATGATACCCTGTCATTCATTAGCATAATTACATTATCTCCTATATACACCCACAACCTTTAGGGGAGGTTGAGGCTTTTGGTTCTGGCGTGTTACGAAATTATGTTTGTAGCTTTACCCACAAAATTGTAGGTTATATTCTATTTAATAGCCATACCACTGTAACTTAGAGTTAGTTTGATGTTTAATCATATACAGTGTTCATTCTTATGTTTTTCATGGCACAAGTTCTCCAAATATAAGTTCTTTATTATTTATGTTTCATCATGTGTTTAAACATTCTTCAGAAGGAGTTTGAGGGTGTTGTAATTTGTATGTTAATTATTACTTATTTGAGAACTTCAAAAAAAAAATCTGTAGTTGCTTGTTACACAGACGATTGATGTACTGGCTAAGTGTAGAATTCTTGACACATCCTTTTTCCACGAACATTCCTATAGATGAGTCTACCGACTTTCCAGTTTGCCTGAGAATTTGAAGCTAGCCTGATATTTTCCCTCCAGTTTTGATCATTGGTTTCTTCTGCCTAGATACCTTTAAGATTCTTTGAAGCTTACTGAATTCAGTGTGATATGTCTGTAATTTGATGGTTCACTCCTATTTGTTGTTTATCTTTCCTAGTACATAGTGAGATCATTCAATCTATAAATTGAGGTCATTATTTCAGAAGAGACCTCAAATATCTTTGTTCTTTTCTTTTTCACAGACAGTATTTCAGGTCTTTGGAGTGTGTTGGTAAACAAAGCAGATGAAAATCCCTGTCATTGTGTGGAGCTTAAATTGTGGTAGGAGGACATGAAAAAAATAATACATGAGTAAATTATATAGTGTTATGGGTAGAAAAAACATTGTAAGATAGATTGAGAGTACCAGGCAGGAGCTAGAGGAAGACAGGCAGTAAGATTGCAGTTTTTAATAGGGTGATTAGTGTAGGCCTCATTGAGAAAGTAAAGGAAACAACTAGTGCAAAAGTCCTACGTCAGGAGTATGCCTTGCATGTTAAAAAAAGCAAGTAAGCCACATGGTTGGAAGGAGAGAGTAAGTGATTAAGAAAATGGAGGAAAATGAGGTCAGAATATAAAGAGGGAGGGTTCAAGTCATGCAGATTGTATACGGCAAGGCCGTTACTTGTGGAACCACTATTATTCTGGTTGCTTTGTCGAGAATGGTCTGTAGGGTATGGTGGTAGAAACAGGGGGCGTTGATTGAGCAGTCAGTGCAATAATCTAGATGTGTGAAGTGATAGCTTTTTGGACCAAGGAGTTAGTGAGGACGGTTAAGATTCTGTATCTAATACATTTGCTTAGCAATTGGAAGTAAAATGAGAGAGAAAACGAGGGATCAAGGATGACTCTAAAATTTTTAGCTTGAGCAACTGAAAGGATGGAGTTGCCAGCAGCTGAGATGAGACAGCTCTGGATAGAGCACATTTTAAGGAAATCATCGGGAGTTTAGTTTTGCACATGGTAAGAAAGAAATATCTCTTAGATGTTCAGGTGAGGGTGACAGAATGTTTGAAGTGAGTCTATAGTTCAGGAGCAAGAGCTGAGCTGGAAGTATTAATTTGGGTCATCAGCGTATGGATGATAGTACCAAGAGGGTGAGGATAGATGTTGAGAAAAGACAATCAGGGACTGAGGTCTGGGGTGTTCACAGTATTACGAGGTTGGCAAGGAAGGACCAGCAAAGGAGACTAATAAGAGGAGAGTGAGTGAGGTATTAGAGGTGGTCTCCTGTAAGTCCAGTGAAGAGAGTGACTGCTGAAAGGTCTGGTAAGATGAGAGCTGAGAACTAGCTATTGCAAAATGATCATTGATGACCTTAATAAGAGCAGATTTAGTGGAGTGATGAGAGTGAGAGACTAATTTGAGTACATGTAAGAGGGAATGGAAGGAGATGACTTCTGCAGTCTGTCTGCAAAAGGAGTAGCATTATGGGGCAGGTACCTAACGAGAGGAGGATTGAGACTTCTTTTTTAAGCCTGGTGAAACTGGTGATCTTTTTTACATTTTATTCTGATCTTTTCAATCATATTGAGTCTTTTACTAAAGAGATTTTCATTTCTTTGATGGGTTTTTCTTCAGTTTTTTCGCATTTCATTTCTCTTGTCTCATTTCTTCTTTAATCTTTTATTTCAAGAATCCCATCTTAAATTTAACAGAATAGAGAAGTCCAAATTTTCCTTTTTTCCTGGATTGGTTCTTTGAAACCCTAGTCAACTGCTTTTTGCTACTTAAGTTTTCTTCAGTTTGTTGGTTGCACATGAAGCAGTTGAGGTATTGTGTTCTTTTTTAATGCTATTGATTATAGTATTTATTTGAAGATGTTGCATTGATGCCCTCCCTTACTGTGTCGCTGATATTACTGAAGTGGGAGAGCAGTTTCTGGAAAGAGCTGTTAATATACTTTTTCCTGGTTCTGTTTACTCTTATACTAATGATTGTTTTTAATATCTGCTGGACACCATTGTTTACATTATTTGTGAATGAAATGTTTATTTTACCATGGATATGTTTTTGCAGACACGAGATTACTAGCCCTGAATCTTGGTGTAACTACAGAATTAAGTAATTTGCCCTTGTAACTTTATGGATCTTGGGGGATATTTCCTGAGTATAAGCCAGAGAATCTACCTTATTTTGCTTACCTGTCTCCACTTACCAATCTTAGTAGAGTATCTGGGGCTTCCTAGATAAAGTTTACACTTTACTTTTTCCTCTCCCTTGTGACCCCAAGGGTAAGGGTGGAATGATTTCAGAGTCAGTCATATGAGAGTTTAGGTTGGTTCCTAAAGGGCAGTATTAAAAAAGAGGGTTTCTTAAGAGTTGGTTGGAACATTTAGGACTAGCTAACTTACTTTTCTTACAACTTTGTATTCTTTAGGTATCATTGCAGATTTTTTTTTATCTCTTCATTCCTGTTGCTCCTGTCATAGGCTAGGCCTTGCTATTTTCATTAATCGACCTACGTGTAATCTTTTTCACCACTGTATTGTCTCTAAAGAAAACACGTATATCTTTGCCTCACTTTTCACTTTTCTAATCCAAAGCTAGTAGTTTGCAGGCTAGGAAGCACCTTAGTGCTCCTGAGAATGAGGACTCAGCCACTGTATCCCTCAGCTTTGAAATTAGTCTCTTAACTTGCACTTTCTTATACATTGTTTTGTTTTGGTGGTGGTGGTAGTGAGAGAACTGTATAAGAAGTAAGGATCCACCTAATTGACTTGGTGGGTTAGGTCTTGAGACAGATCAAACATTCCAGTGTTTTGTTGGCAATATTCTAGACACTGAGTTATATTGTATTTAATCTGTACGTGCCAGAGTTGTATGTAATCTGTATCACCGGAGAGTGATAGTTTATGAGGATTTAGAAGTTGGATTTCATGAGCTCTGGAAGTTTGCTAGGTGGAGCAACCTGAAACTGAAGAAAGGACTTAGTTAATTTTTCAAGCTATCTGGAGACTTGGAAGAATACATCAAAGGATCCATCCAAAGGAGACGCCTTCAAAAAAAAATGGGAAATTAAGATGAGGATTGTTGCTTTAGGCACTGAAACCTCTGCCTGTGCGCCCTCCCTCACCTCCCCGTTTCTCATTAGAAATGGTATGTTATCCTATTTGTAAGTCATCGATGATGCTTATCATGAATATGAATAGGTTTGTGATTTATACCAGAGAAAAATAAAAGTTTGTAGATAAAATTAGACTGAAGAAGGAACGAGAGCTGTCAATAAAAGTGCTCTTACGTCTTTGAATTCCTGAAAACTTACTCATCTTCCTGTATTTTAGAGGTTCTCAACTAGGGGTACACAACAGAATCATCTGTAAAGATGCTTACTACACCCTACTCCATGAAGACCGACTCAGAATCTCTGTAACAGTTGAATACAGATAGTCCTTCCTTAGGTTTTTGAGAAGTTCACTCCCTGGTTAAGAACCCATTTTCTCCCAATGATAGATTGAAGTTAAACTCTGAAAATTCTTATTTAATTTTGTTTTTACAGTTGTGAAAATGTTTTGTTCATTATGAAAATTATCTTAACATTTAGGAAATAGAGTCACTGGATTGGAAGAAAATGGGAAAATCAGAAGGAACAAATGTTGGGACTAAAAGTTTATGGAGTTACATAGCTTCATTATAAAATCAATAATTAAAGCTATATTACGGTCTCACAAATATAGCTGTACACAAAAACCTTACTTGGACCTGCCCGAAAGACCAAAGAAAGTTGACAGGACACACCTAAACTGAATTGAGCATTGCTCACTCCTAGTTTTTTCTTTGCATTGGCATTGAAAAATGATCTTTTCTAATCTCCCTATGTATCCAGTTTCTTATTATTTTCCAAAGGGAACGCTTTCTTCTAGTCAGCCAGTTTTTCTGTTCGCGTTTGTCTCTTCCCATTGCTCTTGTTGCTGCTTTCTAGTGGAATTTATTTAGTGAGTTCCATATTGATGGACATTTAGGTTGGATGTGGCTTTTAAATATGTCTTTTGATACAAAAACATGTATTACATTGCTTAATACTAATGTTATTCTGAAGGAAATTAATTCTACTGGTTTTAACTTGAATGTGTTTTCTTATAGCAGAAAAAGAAAGCGAAGAACATTCCTCCACCAACACGCAGAAATTGGGAAAGTAATTACTTTGGGATGCCTCTCCAGGATCTGGTTACAGCTGAGAAGCCCATACCACTATTTGTTGAAAAATGTGTGGAATTTATTGAAGATACAGGTAGGATAGAAGTATCATTTCAAGAGATTTGATTGGAAATTTCGCCTTTGCTACACTAACAGTCTATGGAATGTTCGTGATTCGTTAAAACTAAGTTTCGAAAAAAGTGTATAGTTCTCATTAATAGAATTGATTGTCTTGAGTATTATCTCTAGACGCAACCATCTGATATTTGAACGAAGTTTTGTGGCTGACCAGTAATTGCGCTTTTGTTGGACTTCTCTTTCATAAATGGTTAAGTCGAATGCTGTTAAACTTACCTTATTCTGGAATTTAGAATAACTTGATTATTAAATTAAGCTACTATTTAATTATAGGTAATTATGGTTTAAATCAATAATTTGAAAGTTTTCAATATTTTTTAAATCTACTTACTACCCATTTACACATGAATTTCTTTTAAAATTAATTCATGGCAGTACTTATGAATATATGAAAGGCAGCTTGTTTGGGATGTTACTGTTTATTCAGCAGCACTAGTTTGATATGGTTTATATGGTTTGAGTTGTATTTGTAAAGAATGTGTAGATATCCTTATTATTTTAAAAACAAGCCTGCTGTTGTGTTTACTTTGTCCAGTGTAAACTTATCTGAGGGTTGAATTGGTCAGAGGTGGGGAATAAGGGGAATAACGGCAGAATATTATCATGTTTATGTGTATTTAAAATGAACATTTTAATCGTGAAATCTTGGTGATTGAATGGACTACAGAATTTAATGATTTGAAAACGAGTTAATTCCATTTTAGCTTTATTTGTTCTTAATGATCTCCTTTGATAAACAGGCATTGTTTAAAAAACAAACAAAGATGCCATGTCCTATCTAAAAAGTCAAGCTCATTTTTATTTAGATGTACGCCTTACCCTTTAGTCTGATTATTAGCTAAGTTCTATACATATTGCGTTGTCTGGTGACAAGTAGTGACTTTGAGTTTTAATAAAGGAATGGAATATGGGACAATACCTGTTACCCACAAGTATTATATCAGAAATAGCCTGTATCTTCCCCCTTTTCTTAATAAGTGTTGATTACTATAAAGCCTACTTTTGGATATGCCCTTAAATTTGTTTTTTCCTTCAACAAGGTGTGCATTAGGCAAATTTCTTGTCTATATTTTGGTCTATCTTTAGCATAGTAGAAATTCAGAGGTTCTTATAGTATTAGCTTCCTGCTTTGAGGTTAAAGAATTCTCATTTTCTTTAGTAATATAATTAGGCCTTACAGATATGACTGAGCAGTTAGAAAATACTTTTCTTTAGTGCTTAGAAAATAAAGTAATAATGGATAGCATTTTTTACATTTATAATTAAAAATTCCCATTTCTTGGGGCTGGCCCCGTGGCCGAGTGGTTAAGTTCGCACGCTCCGCTGCAGGCGGCCCAGTGTTTCGTTAGTTCTAATCCTGGGCGCGGACATGGCACTGCTCATCAGACCACGCTGAGGCAGCGTCCCACATGCCACAACTAGAAGAACCCACAACGAAGAATACACAACTGTGTACCGGGGGGGGCTTTGGGGAGAAAAAGGAAAAAATAAAATCTTAAGAAAAAAAAAAAAATTCCCATTTCTTGAATGTTTTCATGGTAGTTAAGTGATTTGGTTTGAGGAAAATGAATGAATTCCAAGTTTAAGATAAAATGAAATTCTACTCCATTTCTTAGCACAGTTTCAGTCACCTGACAGGTAATTTATATATTTAAGTGCTTTGTTAGACATATACTAAAGTACCATAAGACTACAGGAATAGTCATATAAAAGATTAAAGCTAGTTCTTTTGTTGTAGTGTATTGTTTGATTTTATTACTGACTAATGCTAATCAATTTTAGCAGAAATTCCCAGTTACTTGAGGGTTCAATATTGAATTCTCGATATGGACTTTAGCACAGCCATCTTCTTTTTAGGGTTCAACTTGTAGTAATTTAAATATGTATCAAATACCTATGATTTAAAAGTTGTACTTCACTATTTGTAGATCCTTAGACATAGTGATATAAAAGAGCAGTACTTTTATTGTTATAATTAGCACCCTTTTTTAAAGGAGTAACCCTTTTTTTAAACAACCCTGAAGAAAATATTATGGTAGTTTTAAAAATCAACTTTATTGGTATAACTTACATACAGTAAAATTCACAAATTTTAATTGTACATTATTAGTTTTGATAACTCTACAGTCATGTAAGCATCACCACAATTAAGGTATAGAACATTTTCATCACCTCAAAAAGAACCCAGTGTTTCATCATTAAGTATAATATTAGCCATTGGTTTTTTGTAGATGCTCTTTATCAGGTAGAGAAGTACCCTTCTATTCCTAATTTGCTTCATTTTTACCCAAAATGGGTATTGATTTTGTCATCTGATTTTTCTGCATCTGTTGAGTTGATCATATGGTTCTTTTTTGTCTGTTTAGATGGTGAATTATATTAATTGATCTTCAAATATTAAACTAACGTTGCATCCCTGGGACAAACACCACTTGGTCATAACGTTTTGTCCTTTTTATATATTGCTTGATTCAGTTTGCTAAAATGTTAAGGATTTCTGCATCCCGAGGGATATTGGTCTGTAGTTTTCTTGTGTTTGTCTGGTTTGGTATTAGAGTAAGCTGGCATCATAGACAGAGTCTATTTTCTGCAAAAGTTTGTATAAAATTAGTAATATTTCTTTCTTAAATTTTGGTAAAATTCACTAGTGAAACTATTTGAACCTGGAATTTTGTGAGGAGGTTTTTAACTATGAATTAAATTCTTTTAATAGATAGAGGGCTATACAGATTTTCGATTTCATGTTGAGTAAGCACTGGTTGTTTGCATCTTTTGAGGAGTTTGCCCATTTCACCCAAATTGGTATAAGGTTGTTTATAAAATTCCTTATTCTTTTAATGCCTGTAGCATCTGTAGTGGTGTGTTCTCTTTTAGTATTACTTATCTGTGTCTTTTTTTCCTCTCGTTAGAGGTTTATCAATTTTATTGATCTTTTCAAAGAACCAGCTTTTGGTTTTACTGATTTTCCTCTTTTGTTCATTTTTTTGTTCATTGAATTCTACTTTTTATTTCCTTCTTTCTGCTTTCATTTGGTTTCTTCATTGTTTCTTAAAGTGGAAGCCTACATGAATGATTTCAACCAGTCTTTTCTACCATAATATTTAATGTTAAAAATTTTCCTCCGACCATTGTTTTAGCTTCATGCCACAGATTTTAATGTGTTGTTTCCATTTTCATTGAGTTCAGAATACTTTGTAATTTCCCTATTTATTTTTTAAAATTTAACTCATTGGTTATTAGAAGTGTTTTATTTGTAAATATTGTCCAGATATCTTTGTCATTCATTTTTAGTTTAATTCTATTGCCATTGGAAAACAAATAGTTTGATTTTAGTGTAAGTTTATTGAGAATATTGTCTATTTTGAAGAATGTCTCATGAGTCCTTGAACACAATGTTTATTAAGCTGTTGCTTGAAGGATTCTATGTTAGTTGGGTCCAGTTCTTTAAGAGTATAGGTCCAGTCTTGTATATCCTTACTGATTTTCTTGTTGACTTTTTTTTTAATTACTTAAAAAGTACTGTTGAAGTCTGCAGTCATGATTGTAGTTTGTCTCTTTCTCCTTTCACTTCTTTTAGATTTTACTTCATATGATTTGAAATTCTTTTAGTTATGTATACAATAAGGATTATGTCTTTATGAACTGACCTATTATTATGAAGCATTCTCTTAATGTTTCATAATATTCCTTGTTCTGAAGTCTGCTTTGTGTGATATTGATATAGCCAATGGTATTTTCTTTTGAGTAATGTTTATGTGGTATATCTTTTCCATCCTTTTACTTTTAATCTATCTGTATCTTTATGTTTAATGTAGTTTCTTAGGGACAGTGTATCACTGGGTCTGACAGTCCTCTTGTTTTCATTGGCTTTTAATGTAATTATCAATATAATTGGTTTTAAATCTACCATCTTGTTTTTATTTTCTATTTGTCCTATGTGATCATTATTCCTTTTTTCTTTTTTTCTTGACTTCATTTGGATTAATTGGATTTTTCTTTTTCTTTTTCTTTTTTTTGTGAGGAAGATGGGCTCTCACAAAATTGGAAATAGCCAATCATCCTCTTTTTGCTTGAGGAAGAGTGGCCCTGAGCTAACATCTTTTCCAATCTTCCTTCATTTTATATGTGGGATGCTACCACAGCCTGGCTTGATGAGCAGTTTATGGGTCCGCACCCAGGATCCGAACCCACAAACCCTGAGCTGCTGAAGCAGAACACACAAACTTAACTACTACACCACTGGGCTGGCCCCTGAATATTTTTTATTCTATTTTAACTTCAGTATCAGGTTATTAGTTATATCTATCCCTTAGGTTTTTTTAATGGTACTCTCGAATTTGAAATACACATCTTTAATCACAGTTCCTCTTCACAGAATATTATACCACCATAATGTGTAGTTTCAGAACCTTGTAACAGTATATTTAACTCTCCTACTCCTTGTTCTGTTGTTGTACATTTTGGTTCTACAATATGTTTTAAACATCATGGTACATGTTTATAATTTTTGCTTTAAACAGGTAATTATCCTTATTTTTGAAAGGTAATTTTCTTAGGTTGTAAGTCTTTTATACAACAGCTTTATTGAAATGTAATTCACATACTCTACAATTCATCCTTTTAAAGTGTACAGTCCAATGGTGTTTTAGTGTATTCACAGAGTAGTACAGCCATTGGCACCATTAGTCACCTCAAAAAAAAAACCCATACCCATTAAGCAGCCACTCCCTATTCCCCACACCCACCCCCCCTTAACTTTTTTCCTCTATAGAGTTACCTGTTTTGGTCTTTCGTGACTTGCTTCTTTCATTTAACAGAATGTTTTTGAGGCTCATCCTTATTGTAGTATCTGTCAATACTTCATTTTTATTCTTGATTAATTTTCCATTGATGGACATTTGGGTTGTTTCTACTTTTTGAATTTTGTTAATATTGCTGCTTTGAACGTTCCTGTAC